AGATCAACCATCGAAACCATGTTTTATGCCTAATTATTTGATGATGGCTGGTATTTGAGGCTTATACGCTGCAAACACCTATCATAATTCCATGGTCCCCAGTTCAATCCTACATGCGAGGAATCTGACAGCAGAACACCTTGTGTTGGTTTCGTCAGTGGTATCGAGAGCTGACTGTTCAAAGCAGTGGCAAACTACCAAAAGTAAAATTGCTTGGTGAAATCAAAAACGGCCAAAAAAATTATCGTGTTCTGTAAATGATAAGCTGAAAAAAAAACTTTCAGGCAATCAGCTGTGCTATATATTGTTCATCCCATTATTTTAGTGTCATCAACCCATCTTCTCCTGGAATTTTCCCTTCAGGTCTTTCCATGTGCAGCCCCTTTGATGGTAACAGTTGTGGCTACATTCTAACGAGATGACCAAAACATTTGATCTTCAGTTTTCAGTAAATCTGGCGCATGGTGCTGTTCCCACTGTCTGTAACAGTATTATTTCTCACTTTGTCCCGGACTGTGAAGTTACTGTTTGAATTAATTTGTCTAAAAGACAAATAAAAACAGTGAAATGTCCCCTTTGTTGTCTAACAAGATGATTATTTTATTGGCATACACTGTAATTGTATACGATAATAATAAATAAAATTAAAAAAAAATAACGTGTGCTATCTCTATAACGAAGGCTTGCTTCAGTGCATCCATTGCTGTCTTCAGGAATATTATGTGGTGAGGCTTCTATTGCTTCCAGGGTGTGACTCTCTTACCAATGCGCACAAGTCACGAGAATGGGCAACTATTTTATCAAATAAACCATCTGAAGTAGAAATCAAACCCTAGTATATCGAGGACCGTGAAACGCATTCACTAATCTCTAGCCACAGATCTCAACACAACCATAAGTTCACACAATCAAATAAACCCACCCACTAAGCTCAGGTTACCTTGTTTTGTGGTACCCTAATATTCTTCTTCTTCTCTACCACCTTGTACTTCAGCCAAGTGCTGGGTACCCTAATATAATTCTTCTATAAAGCTATACAGATGGAGGTGAAAAACTTATCAAAACAATAATAATAAATATATCAAGAATTATGACACAATGCCCCTGAAACTGCTATTTCACATTTTCTTCACAAGAAACATCAAGAATGGTCAGCAATTAATTGTTAAATGGTACCAAGCAAAGCACAGTGTGATCTAACTGTTGCGTACTGATTTGTAAGTGTTGTAACATTGTTGGGGACAATGTTATGTGAATCATGTTTTCGGGAGTCCACAGGAAATGTCCGGTGACCTGAGTCAATATTTGGTGCAGTGTTTACTTAGCGGATTCATGAAGTTACCAGCCCAGTGTGGACTAATTATCATACTTAGTGTTTGGATAGCAGCTATTGCACAGAAAAGTATGGGGTTCCTAGTGAAGTGGAATCAAGCATAACAGTGGGCATGGAGGCTCACAAGATACAGGCATGTGTATATAGTGGTGTTGAGTTCCGCACAGAGAGAATACAAGAGGTCTGCTAGAATGTGTCGAGTTGAGAATGTTCGAGGCGGAAGTACTCGCGAGAGACTGGTCTAGAGGACAGTCGAAGGAAGAGAAGTCCAGTTGGCAGAGTTAGGCCTAGAGAGCTTGACTACTTCAAGAACAAGCTGTCTTGGGTGACGACGCATGTGAGGTGGTAGGATCACTAGTGGAACAAGACAGCAGAGATGTCGGTGACAGCTGTGTGCTGAAAAGGACTCAGGTTTGGAGTCCTGCCAGTCATTGGGGGTTCCTTTGACGAGGCTGATGTACACATACTGGAGATCAAGAATCAGATGTTTTCCAGTCAGCCGATGTGACAGTGTCAGCTACGTATAGAGCAACAGAGGTCAAGTTGAGTAGGAGATGTAACCTGTTCATCTGTACAGCAAAGCCCTGAAGTTAGTGGGAACTGGAGATCTAGGCACTGTAGCGGTCAGCTCAGCGTGTAAAGGCAGCTAGTGTAGGCTGTCTTAGAGAGCGCCACTGTGTCAGTTTCAGCGAGCAATGTGAGGAACATTCACTTCACAATTAACCAGTGGCATGTATGGTTACTTCGCTTGCATTATTATATCTACGGGTTTGTCTATACCTGCTTGAAATTGTGACAATAAATGTGCACATATGGCAGCAACATGTCGTTGAGTTTTCCTGACAGTGTTGTGCGCAAGTTAAACACAACAGTTGGAGTGTGAACCATATCCTGGACACTTGGTTGTGTGCTGTCTGCCCATTCAGCAACTTTAACACAAAACACTAACCTCATTTCTAAGCATCACAGAGAAACATGGCTAATGTTTCAACAACACAACTTCTCCTTCTGTGTTTTGTGTTGTGGTTTACAGCTGGACTGCAATATTTGTGCTTTTCAGCCGAACACCTTCATTACAGCAAACTTTTAATCAGTCACCTTTTTAATAAATGTGGGAGTTGCGTGGCCTCGAGGCCTGGCGTCCGCTTGAGCGCTAGAGGTCCCGGAGAAGGCTGGGATATTTGCACGTGGACTTCAAGTAATTTCGGCTGCTCTCTGGGGAAGTAATATCGGACACCCCTGTGTATTATTGCACATGTAAACAAAAATCCCTTGGCAGTTGGAAATCAATAAGAGTAGCCTAATGGCACTGCCCAGACAAAATTTGGAGTTAAAAGTCTACCCAAAGTATTTCAGGATCCTTGCTTGTGCTACGGAGTTCGTGAGATTCTTCGGACTCAGGCTTGAGTCAGAAGTAGAGGAGAGCACTTATAAGTGCCATGATGTTGATCCGTCGTCTAAATCTAAACCTTATGACATGCTTGTTAGGGGGTTCCGTAATTCTCCTCTCCAACATGGGGCCCTGGTACCCCCTCAAGGGTGGTGAATGTTTTATGCTAGGTATACTTTCATTGAATATGCTTTAGCCTTTCTGTTGGTCATCACCTTCTGGGTATCTGCTGCAAAATCTTCTGGAGCCTATTTACTAGCATTTGATGTCCCTGTGACGTAGCTGGCCAAGTGGTAAGAATGCTGGCCTTCATGTGGAAAATCTGGGGCTAAACCTTTGATAAAGTGATGGAAATTGTTCCCTTGCTGGGAACATAATTTTAAAACAATCCTAATCTGCAGTACGTGGGAGCTGCACTAGCCATGCAACCCTACATCCCCCAGTTCAAGACACCCCCAGTGACTGTATGACTACACAGCTGCTGCTAGTCAGTTCACCGCCAAAAGGACTAGAGATGACATAAGACAATATGGTCCTTTCTAGCAACAATGAACAAACAACAAGTAGAAACTGTAAAAATCTGTAGGTACTGGCTTATTTAAAAAGACACATACAGTAAATGTACAAAAGAACTGCTAGTAAAAATGGCATGAATGTACATGATGTATCTTGACAAAGAACTGTTATTGCTTACATTGAAATCGTTTTACACAAGCTTCCAAATACAGTAACACACATGCTAAAAACTGAACTTATTGAGTTGAGTTTGCATTAAAAACTGACAGAACAGTATTCGGGACATTCCCCTAAGTGCCCTGTCCCCATCTTCAGCAGCCAGCAACAGAGCTCCAATTCACAGGGTACCAGAGGCAGCATGATTATATGTCCATCTTGTCTTTCTCAAAGTTTTGAATGTTAATCAGATCCCCTGGTTACTCTCCCCACCACACCATTCTCTTCATACTGTGATGACCTTCTTACCATTCACGGTAGGAAGGGGGGAGGGGGAATTTTAGGATTTAACGCTTACTTACAACACAGTAATAATACAGAAAATTCACAGGCAGCGATGTGCCAAGTAATACCTGGGTATGCCTTGCGGTTTGAGGTAGTTAGGGAATGATGCTATTTTTAACTTCAGGTCAATATGGAGGACAGGTAAGTTTACTTTTTTTTAGTAATGGCAAGTATTTGCTTCTGACAATATTTGGCCATAGTATTTTCCTCCATATGTAGACTGAAAGAATATAGTTCTGTCTTACAGCTGCTGAGCTAAGTGTACAATGTGAGCTGTGGATTTCATTTGGAGTTCTTTTCTACTGTGCCCACCGTGGTTTGTGTTGTGATCTTTAGATTCCAAAAAAGAAGGGCCTGTTGCCAGAGAACTTGTGGCGCCTTATGCGATTATGTGCATGTGCAACTACTGATTCTGACAGATGCCTTATGCATTTGATACTTGTGTATGCTACTAACTTTGCTGAGACTATAGTCCGTGTAAATGTTTTCACAAGGGACAAAGATGGACATTCTGTTTGGTTTTTACTGGCATGGGAACAGAGCAGCCATGGGGTTAACCTGTTTGCTATGAAGCTGGAACTGTGATTGCCTGATGCTGAAACTTGAAGTGAATTGTTTAACTCTCTTCTTCATGTAGTGTATCCTGTTTAACTCTTTCAGACCCAAACACTGAATACTTTCAAGTACAAACCCATTAGGGAAAAAACAAAAAAAAAAGTAAACCTAATATCTGTCTAGGATTAAAGTTGCTATTTTTTTTTTTTCAACTGAAGAAAATCTTATTTGCCCAGTTATCTGCATAGTTGAATTCTTCTGAATAATAATAGTTAAATGTGATGCTGTGTCAAAATTATTTTGCCCAGATTCATCTTTGATTGGTCTTTTTACCCCAGCTGGTGACTGCAAGTGTCTGCAGGTCCACCTGTATACTGTCTCCACCATCCTCTTGGCCTGTTCCAAGTCAGCTCTTTGGTATACACAATTTGTATCTCTGCTATCCGCCATTCTCTCTCTATATACCCCAACCACTGCAGTCTACTAATATGACCAAAATTATCAATGTAGGTAATAAATAACATTATTTCATACACACATCATAAATGCAACACTGTTCACAGAGAACAAGAACATACAGTAAAAAACATAAAAAAATACAAGTAAAATATTCCACCACATGTGAGGATTACCAGGTGTACGTGTCTCATGAGCACAAGATAATGTAAAAAAACAAATGGTTTGCACAGACTAACAGGCGTGAGCTCAGGTTGTTCGGATCTTGCCAGGAACGTAGTTTTTGTCAATGATCTGTTCCTGCAGGAACATGTGCAAGCATTTCTCATTTTGAGCAAGAGGATGGCCTGCGACCCTGTCAAAGAAGATATCATTTCAATGTCAGCAGTGGAGTCATATACATAAGTAAATCATGGACAGTTGGCCGATTAGTGAAGGATTCTGTGGAAATGACAGAGGTTCGGTTTTACAGATGAGTAATGAGAACATTGTGGTAGGTAGACAGAAAAAGTAATGAAGAAGTTTTGATAGAAAAAAAGAGAAGAAAAACACAGAGGAAGAGAACTGACTGCCAACATCATAAACAGACAATCTATAATCTTTAGTCATGCCATGAGAAGGAGAAAAATAGGGTACATCAAGATAGTGGGAAAGAGGCAGAGGGAGAGTGAGAAAGAAGTTGCTGGACAGTTTGACATCATGACATGGGAGAGTATCCGAGTCAGAACTAACTGAAAGTACACGAGACAGAGGTTGTGGATAGACACGACTACCAATGACACACAGCATGTATTTTAAGAAGTGGATTGATAAAGTAGAGTAACAAAGTAACACATAGTGGAAGATTTAAAAACACAACCACAAAAGAAAGAGATATGGTTGAATAATATGAGAAAGACAGGGAGGGAGACTAGTAGGATGATGGCTTTTCATGCATTGGTTGATGGTCTATGCATCAAAGTAGGATTATATGGCAGAAGAAGAGAAAGACAGAAAAAACAAACAAGTAAAACTGTTTTCAAGGGGTAAGAATTTAATTTGCTGTTACAGGTGAGGAGCTGCAAGGATGAAACTAGAGGAGACAGCAAAACAGCATGCATGGTTGATGGTCTATGTTTCTTCTTCACATTCATTGGTTGTAAACTCTGGTAGAAAGTTCTGGTTGTTAAACTTCTGGTCTTCGGTTTTGTTTCAGAACTTGAGTTTTGCGTACACATCCAATTTACAGATCTAGCTTATTTGTATGCAGACTGTTGGTTCCTCACCTCTCAGACAGAATGCACTTCAAAAAAAAAACAACGCGATAATTAGCCCCTTTTTACGGATTAGAAATTAGATTGGCAGTGGGTCTATCTCCACACCTTCCCCCATAAAGAGTTTTTTAAAAAGTAAAGAACCCCTTTCCATGCCTTTCAGGAGTAGTGCGTATATAGGGCTAGACCTAAATTTTTTAGACCAAACAGCACTGGGTGGGTAATATGGTCAGCATCATGCCGATCACCTTCACCTCCCAGGACTCTACCTGGTACCCACTAACGGCTGGGTCGACCTGGGAGCCAAGGTCATTTGAAAAAGAAATTTGGCCCTGGTCAGGGACCGAACCCATGACAGCCTGATCCGCAGCCGAACATCACGGTAGCTCCCCCTCCAAATAAGGGTCTAGAATCCACATGGGGATGATCTGAGGTGATTCAGGGTCACTGTTCCAGCTCAGGATAAAGTAAAAGTCCCTGTTAGCACCAACAGTGTCTCTGGCATGTGCTGATAGACTCATATTTGTACAAACCCATTGGCCTTTGATGGGTCAACAGCTTTCTACAAGCCACCGTTACCTCGCAGGACATTCTTCTTCTTCTTCTTCTCTTCCACCTCGTACCTCATCGAAGTGTCGGGGGGAGATGTAATGTTCGGTGATGAGCTCTGTCAAGAGCACTATTAAGACTGATGTTCATTTCTGTAAGGCTGTTCTTAATGCCATCACTCCATATTTTCCGAGGTCTTCCACTCGCTCTATACCTGTTGTAACGTTTTAGTGCGGCTCGCTGTGGCAGATAGTACCAGGGCATTCTTGTTAGGTGTCCAAACCACTTCATTTGTTGTTCTTTGATGACCTACATTACCTGTACCAATCTTAGACTAGAGGCACCTGAGGTCAATTTTGGGGGGTAAAAGAATCAGCCTGGCCGGCAGGCGAGCATCTTGCCATTACACTACTCCGGCTTACTGTGAAGAAAGATGATTTTTTAAAAGTCTGACTCACTTGTTGATAAATTGCTCTAGCCCTTTTCTTCTCTCTTCAATGAACTCATCTTCAAATATTCCATCGTCTCCACGAAATGGCAGCTGTCGTTTTAGAGCCTTGCCTGGTAAAGGTGGGACTACAATCTGAAGTGAGAAAATAGAAAATGTTTCAAATTAATTTCTACAAGCAATAACAACAGCTTTTATGATATCTGAACAGTTTTTATATTATTATCTGGGACCCTGTCTACTGGTGTGGGTGATCATGCCTCGCCACAACTTTCAATTCCAAGAGCATGTTTCAGTTTGTGTGCGGAGACCTTTTTCATGCTATGACAAAAGGCTGTTAACAATGTTATCGAGTTATTGGTATTTTTTTTTTCCACAAATCTTTCTGGTCATCAAACCATGTTAGTTTTTTTCTTCTCATAACATGGCCAGACCAAAATAATGACTGTCTCCTGATTGTAATTAAGTTGTCTATGAACCCTTACCTCCAAACCACCTGGATTACTTAGCCACTTGCCACACGGCGGACATACCTAGTATTAGGACAGGTTTACACACCAAGAGTTTTTTTTTATATTACAGGTTTCTTTTTAATCTATCAGTATTATTAGTTTGCTGGTTAAACACCAGCAAGGAAATCAAGGGCAACATTTTGAGAGCATGCATATGTACTGCAGCAACACAAGGATGTGAGTTGTGGCCTATCTAGCAGTCATTGAGGAGAACAACTGGGGTTTCTGAGCTGAACTGCTAAAGAAAGATTCTCAGAATATCATGGACCAAGAAGAAAAGAAATACTATCCTAAAATATCTGAACATCAGGGAAGATTGGCTAGTAAACCGCAGCTTGTCACTGAAACTTATAAATGTTGGTTATATCAAGCACCATGGCAGATTCAAAAGAACAGTAGCAGAAATTACGGAGCCTTGAAAGAGGGACAGGGACCAACTAGCATGAAAATAGGCACAGGATATAACTGACACCTTGAGACAAGAGACTGCGCGCTTCTTTCAGATAGACCATGATGACAGCGACGTTCTGGGTGCACACACACAAACACACACAAAATAGTCAAGTGTGCTAGACATATTATAGCTAGCCCTCAGTGGCATAACGAGGGTTACGGCACGTAGAGCATATACCCTAGGCACCAAACATATTTTTTTTTAAGTTCCAGCGCCTCATCTGAAGGGACCACAATGTTTCATTCGGCTGAAGGTTAGAAAGGGGCCACCCTATATGGAAGATCATATGTGTGGGAAAATGACTGAAAATATACTTCTTCTTCTTCTTCGTTCACCGGCTGTGAATTCCAGCGGAAGGTCGAGATTAATCGTCCGCTTGAACTTTTGGCTTTTACCTGGACCTGAGTTTTGCGTGCACAACCGTATTATTGGCTTTTGCCGTTCCCTGCCTACGGGCAGATGTACTCCGACTTCGAGGGAAGACGTCAGTCCTATTTCTAGGATACTGTGGCCATTATTGAAAATATACGAGACAGAAGGTTGTGGACAGACATGACTACCAAAGCAACATGGTATGGACTATAAGAAGAAGATACTGACATGGGACATCGTGGGCAGAAAGGCAGAGGTCTGGCAGCAATGGAGATCATCTGTGAATTCCTTATGTTCAACAACTGCATGAAGAGGAAATGGAAAGTAATGTGGTCAATTCAATGTCCATTTTCAAAATCTGCCTCAATGAGGACTAGAACCTAGAGCCACCAGGCAAGCCGCAAAATGCCCAAAATGACCCTACTGCTATGACTTATTCGTTCTACCTTGTATCCAGGGAAGCTCGCATAATCGCATCCTGGCTATCTCACTTACTGACATCACACACGAGACCATAATGGACGACGTGAAAAACAATTACGATATGTTCAGCACTTAACTTCTACTGCGTTTTTCCCTGAATACTCCGTGTCTCTCAGTTCCACCGTCAGTCCATTTGGCCGGAAGTGGTGCGTGGGCACGTATTTCTTATATAATTCGCATGAAGTTCGCAAAGACAGACATGACTACCAAAGCAAACATGGAATGGACTATAAGAACACAAATACTGACATGGGACATCTTGGGCAGAAACTCCGTGAGGTTCTGGCCAGCAATGGAGATCATCCCGAATGCCTTCCTGTCAACAACCTTAGCATCAAAGAGGTAATGGAAAGTAATTTGGTCAATTCAACGTTCATCTGTCAATGAGGAACAAGAAACTTAGAGCCACCAGGAAGATTCACTACGCCATGTGACCCTCTCAACAGCCAATCTCGTAAGCAGCATAGCTAAAGACTGAAATATTTAATACAAATAAACATATATCAGTCGGCAGCTGCCGTGGCTAGCCTCAGGCCCGAGGGTCATTAGTTCAGATCTGCATGGCGTCGTATTTTTTGTTAAAACATGATTTTGCTTCCAGTTCGATCCAGCTTAAAATTGGTACCAGGTAAAGTCCTGGAAAGTAAATGTGGCTAGCGTGATGGTGATTGTCGGTCTATAAAATAAAGGTCCTTAACCTTTTTTTTTCTTGCTTTACATTAGTTTCGTTACTTACTTTACTATCTCTCTCTAATTCATTCCGCAGCCACTCAAAGTCACTGTAACGTCGTCGAACACTTGATTCTTTTAGCTTGAATACTGGCAGGTTTGTCTGTTAAGATATGAGAAATAAACATGAAAAATAGAATATCAAAGAAACATAAAGTTAAAGTGGCTGGTGTTATGTTGGCCACATAACTCAACTCTCTAAGTACCAAGTAACTCATTAAACATATGACCTCATTTGGATTACGATGACAATGGGTTAAGCATATATACAGTGTATGATATAGTATGCCTAATGAGATAAAAGCTGCTAATGAGCTGAAAGAAGGAAACAGCTGGTCATCGGTTGGGAAGGGAAAAATCTAGGAGCATGGATATTGGGAAGGGAGATATCTGGGAAATGGATGTTGGGAAGAGAGACATCAAGGAAAGTGGAAGTTAAGTAAGGAGGAGACATCTAGGAAAGTGAGTGTCGGGAAAGGAGATATCTTGGAAAGTGGATGTAGGAATGGGGACATCTAGGAAAGTGGGCACTGGGAAGGAGGACATAGAAGCAGATGATGGGAAGGAAGATATCAAGGAAAACAGAAAAAATATCTTTACTCTGTCCAACAATAACAACACAGCTAACTCACATTAGTTAGGTTAGTGCCAGTTTATTATCAGATAAAGTGTTAATTCTAGTTTAAATATACAGTAGGGTAGGCTTTCTGTCAAAATGGATGACAGGCATGGTCGCTGTTTTTAACCATCGCAAATCTTTTTGCTTCTGACAGATGGTGACCGTTGCATTATCCTCTATTTGTAGACTGAATGGATGGATATAGTTTTGTCATCCAGCTACTGAAATGTGTGCATACCATGATACTGTGAGCTGCGAATTTCATTATGGAATGTTTTTCAACTGTGACCAACGTGGTGTTGTAAACAGTAGATTAAGAAAATGGCACGTGGTCTGTTGCCACAGAATTGGTTGTACGTTAAGTAAATAAAATTTATCACTTGTGATTTCATTTTTTAAATTTTTCCACAAAAATTTGGGTTGAATTTTGCGGGGGGCGCGAAAAATTTTTTTCATATTTTCCCAGCGTGCGGGGTTTTATCAGTAAAGAAATGATTGTGAAAAATCCCAAAGTCCTAAAAATTTGGGGTTAACTTATAAAACCCACTCGCATTTTCCTTTTTAAATTGTACCTTGAAAGCATTATTTTTAAAACCCACTTTAAAAAAAAAATTACCCAGAAAAGTTAGGGTTTAATTTTTCTTGTCTTTTCTTTTTAAAATAAAATTTTTTTGGCCTCGAAGATTTAGTCTTTTAAGCACCCTAATTGCGTTTTCCATTCCCTCACTCCTTTTTTCTTTTTAAAGCCAAACCAAGTTCCAGTTTTTCCAAAAAAGTTTTTTTTTTTTACTCTACTAACCTTATTTTCTTCAGCCTGCGTGATCTTCTCCTACCACACACACCCAGGGTTGCCATATTGGCATTTCTTATGCCAGATTCCACAAATCTGGCATATTTGAAATTGAACTGGCATAAGATAATGAACTGGCATATTTTGACATATTTGGGTTTTTCCTGGCAAAATAGACCTACAGTTAACATCTTTATTTCAGTTTGACTCTTCTTGTGATGTCCTGGTACGGACTAATGGAGATTCGTGCCATTTCTTATTGTATTTGCTTCTTCCTAAATGGATCGTGACTTCGATAAACCAAGGCCCTCTGTAATTTATGTTAATCTAATAGAATAAATGCGGGATATAAAACTAAAACCCACCACTGATATCAAGTGATTCAGACTGTTCAGAAACTACTTGAGGACAGAAAATAGAGAGGATATAGAGCTAGTTCTATCCGTGATAGATTTTATTACTTCTACCAATGGCCACGTCATCCAAAAATTGGAAAGCACCTTATGACATTGCAAGTATAATAGTAACTGGAATAAAACATACCCAGTGCTCAAAAGATCTTCAGGCGAATCAGAGGCAGCATACTGTAAACTGTGTCAGTGCACCTATGCACCAAGAATTAGTAGCATATCAAATCATCAAAAATCCGAATAACACAGGATGTAAACTGCGTAAAAAAGCCAGTCACAGCTTATTACAACAGTGACTCCTAGGCAAAGTAATGATATGTTAAAGGCAGCAGAGTTGCAACTTGCTGTAGGCATGATCTGTCATTGTGCGATACGCACAAATGATCATCTAAGTGAAATCGTGAGTGCGCATGGTCGGGGGAGTACATTGGAGCACATCCAGTTGCATGAAACTAAATGTTCATGCCTAATTTAAAAAAAAAAAAAACATCATAACGCCTGCACTTAAGGATGACCTTATTGATGATTTTCGGAACAAGAAAAATGCCATCATTATAGATGAGTTGCAAAGACTTAATCCCATCTGAGAAAATGCTTAAAGATTTTACATTCAAAAATGTTTAAGCTGTGTCTTCCACTGGTTCCAGTGAGGATGACAGTGAAGAATTCAATCTAGAGCTTTTGATGTGAAGTGAGTACAATGTTACACTTTATTTGGCAGTTTTCTGGCATATTTTTGATAATGGTTTGACATAAAATGAAGTTTTTTATCTGGCAACCCTGCACATACCTCTTATGGATGTTGAGATGGTCAGTGGGGTATTCCAATGGATGGAGAAAATCTCAGCAACGGATGTTGTCGAGCATGGGATTATCAAAGCATGAGTTATGATTTGGGTTATCTTCGTGGCACCTCGAACACGTCCATAGGTGCCCAGATCCCCCTCCAACATATACATCAGCGCCCCACGGTTGATAGACCAAGTCCTATGATGGTTGACAAGACTTCTCGTGTGTCCGGTATGCTTCTCGTGCCTGGCTGTGCCGATCTTTACTCCTAATTCTTGCACTCTTAGCAAAGATGTGGAAGTGCTGCTCCTAAATCCCCCGAACGTCCTACCTCTCTAATGGCATTAACAATGTCGGCATGATCCATTGGCCGGCCCTCTGTAATTAAGGCAGAACCGGTTAATCTGTCGGCTCTTCCATTGCCAACAACACCCGCATGTCATAGTACAAAGATGAAGGTAACTCCACGCACAGTGGAGCATGCTCGGCAGGTGGAATCAAGTTTTCTTTGTATAAAATGGGTTGCATCAATCCAGAGGTCTCAGTTGGTGAGAATCACATGGATTATTTTACAAAGGTTTTTTTTTTAAATCCAGAAACTATGCGTTGTAAGCCTCTTGGCTCGGTACTGCAGACATTGCAACCCTTCGGCCTTCATTCCACGGTAGATACCGTAAATCTGGGAGGTTTTGAACAACGGATCAACATCATAGCATACGGGTAGTAACCCATAAGTGCTCCGTTCTTCTTTTTAACTCAAGTATGCTATTAACTACTACGGCCAGCTCCAGACATACAGCCGGACGTGTTAACTACAGGCAAAGAGAAGAGGGATGCTTTCCTGAAGATGTTCATTTTGACAGACAATGATGGCACACAGAAGAGATCGAGTGAGAAACGATGTGATTACAAGAACTATTGGAACCATACCCATCGTTAAATTTATTGAGAAGCAAAGAATGAAATGGTTTGGTCACCTAATGAGAATGGAACCAACGATGCCAGCATCAAGAGCATACAACATGAAAATCGAAACACCAAGAGGCAGGGGAAGACCAAGAAGAATATGGATTGAAGGAGTCACGGACAACTTGAGACTTCATAACATCACGGCATATGAAGCGACTGAGCGCGCCCTGGCTCGGTTGCCGATCATCTGATAGACTGCGACGCCTAGCAGCACAAGCAGATTTTGACAAAAGAAGAAGAAGATGGCACACAATGATGGAGATAACAGATAGAGTTAGAGAAGATCTGGCAGCCATCTTAAAGAACAAACCTTATGAATACATCATACAGGTGGAAGATGTAAAACGTGATCTGAAAAGGGCTAGACGGGGTTAGATATTCCCACATGAAAGAGATGACTACTTGCTACAACCAGAGCATTAGGACAGCTTCAGTCCCAGAAGAGTGGATGCACAGCTACTGATTTCACTTCCTATGCCTGGCAAGAATAATTCATCACTCGGAGGCTTTAGGATCATAACCCTACAAAACCTTTGCTGGAGAAGATAAAGGTAAAGGTAAAGTCGGGAGATGTGAACCAGCGTCATTGCACACGGTTATAAACTATAGGTGCTCTGCCACCAGTACGGACAGTTGATAAGAAGTGTCCGCCTGTGTCGCCGTTCGCGCGTAACTCTGTAGCTACAGCGACGTTCCTCCATTTACCCCAGAGTATCACTCTGACACCCATTTCGTAGAGGCTGGGTTTCGAAACATCGACCGTGGGCTGCAGCGAGTCGCAGCTGGATTTGAAAGCGAGCTTCTTATCAACTGCGCTAACGCGGGCCCCGCTGGAGAAGATAGGGGCGGGTAAGCTGCAAGAATTTTTTGAACAGAGTAATCACCTTCCACGAGGATTGGGGAGTTACCGGCCGGGGAAGGACACATGGTCAAATGCAGCCACTTTTGCCTTTGATACCTTCGAAGGTTTCCAGAACAGACAGGAAACGGTGGCCCCGAGTGTGTGCATGCGATACATCCTTGCATTGCCGACTATTGCAGTTAGGCTAAATATGCTGCAGGCTAAGTCATACATCAGAGTAGCAGCAGACAGGAGACACCCTCTGTATGAAGCTTTGGCTGCAGGCAAGGGTCAGAGGCTGAAAAGGGGGGAAATCGTGGATGGCTCAAGCAGAAGACACAATAAGACAAGTATGCATGCTGGAGAACATTGGGCGAGGAGAGGAGTGGGTCTGAGTACCAACGGGAAAGTCTGACCTGATAACATTGGGTCGGGTGTGCAGAGAGTGGCCAAGGAATTCCAGAGAAATTTGACCAAAAAGCTCAACAAAATGGGGAAGCAGAAAAACGTGAACAAAACAACACAACGTAACGTTTCGACCGGGCAGCCTTTTTAAAACATAAGTGAACTACACAAACGTCACATCAAGGAGAGGAGAGTATGTAGATCTCTAAGGGGTGACGTGAGCAACGTTTAAAAAAAAATGTGATGTGGAATAAATGAAAAAAAAAAATAAACAATGGTTTAAAAAAAAAATAGTCACAAAAAATAATAAATAGTAGTATTGTTAAAATATAATATAATACTGGGAATAAAAGAAATACAAATGTTAATGATACTGATAAGAATAGAATAAAGTAATAATATTAAATAAAAGAAAAGAAAGAAAAGAAAATAAATTACCATTTGAAATGGGATAAGAGTAGAACTATATAGATGAAAGTATATTGGATATTGATACCACCTGGAATAAGAAGGCCTAAGCTGTGGATGAGGCGATTTTCCAAAGCGAGGCGCGTAGTATGATCGCCAGCGCAAGATTTAATGCTGTGACAGCTATATCATCTTTACCTCTGTGATCAGAGCTATTGAAATGGAAAGGGAGTAGCCAGAGGGTGCTACGGGGGTTGAAATCCAACAGTTGATTCATGACAATTCACGCCCAGGTGATCTGATTATCTATACAGA